GTAGCCCTCTGGTGGCGACTATGAAAACTACCATTCGACTCTTTCTGTTTCTTCGAACTATCGCGAGTTCTAACAAGAATGAAATCGAGTGAACTCCCAACCAAAGGCAGGCAAAATGTAAACTAATTACTTTAAAGATTTACAATTATGGTTACACCGCGATTGGGTCAATCGCTCAGTTTCTGACCACAATGGGGAAGATATTAATTGCACCGATTAACGGACGATTAACGACTGATTAAAATTCGTAACAGAGGGGACCAGCTTTCGAACAGAATTATTTCCCTGCGTCGAGAAACGGTCGCCGATCGAAAACGATCCGAACAACAGATGGATATTGGTTAAGCTCCCAAATATACGGCGAAACAATTACTGCGACTGTGATGGTTTGTGAAAGGTATCATTCACTGGTTCTCTTCTAACCCCGGGGTCAAACAATAGCAACAGTATCATATTGTCAACAAGTCAAAATGGATTCAAAACCAAACCCCTCCCTGCGTTGATTAACAAACACGCGCCCATATTTCTGCGCGACAACGCTCGACTTCGCGCATCGTGGGTCATAACGGCGATGTTGCTTTTTTGTTCGGATGCATCGGGCTATGAAATTTTGCAACTACCATGAATTCACCGGACGCTTTTTCAACGTATTATTATCTATTTCCATCGTCGATGGTCTTTCTAAAGAATAAAGCACTCCTCGATGAAAGAAAAATAACAGCAATTGGAGTTCTTTGAACTATTAATACAGTTTGAAAACTGGCGATACCAATGGTGAGAAAATTTGAATGAAACAAATCTAGTTTTCCAACGATATAGAGAGCTTTTCATTCTGATTTAAAGAAATGGCAATTTTATAATAATATTACCTAATTTATTAACTCCTTTTCGTGGCTGTTAGCTCGACGAAATCCAGGTCCAAATTGTAGGTGTTAACACGCAGTAAACAGACCAGACTGATGATAAACTGCTTTGTAACTGAGATTATAAGACTCGTGGCCGACTCTTGTGGCGTACTGATAGGAACTAAAACCCAATCACGATCGTCATTTGCTGTCCTCGAGCCTGGCTCGCGATGTTTACGTTTGGGCCGACCTTCTGTTCGCGAGTCTGGCTCGTGACATTCATGTTTGGGCCAAAATTTTCATCACGAGTCAGACTCGTTAAAGTACGGGAAGCGGTTAATAAATAACATAGGACAACTATCGATTACATCACGAATTAAATTACAATTGCATACATATTGAGTCTGATTACTCTTACTGTCAATGTGGTACGATTGATAACTGCTCCAATAGTAATATGAAGCCTTGTTGATTCCACTATGAAGCTTTACGATTTCTATTACAGTCTGTTCAAGTATTGTTCCTCTGATTATGTTTTATATGTCTCTTCTCAATTTCTCTAATAATACATTCGAACAATTATTTTGCACCAGCAAACATTAAACGAAATTCAATTTTGGTAACCTTTTCTTTTTTAAATTTCACAACCCAGAACTCTTCATCATTAAGTGAATTTTTGATGAATTATAATACCCCTGTATAAACCATACCTTTTACAAAATTTTCACAATTCTTTACTTCTCTAGTACATCGAATTGATCAACAATTTTTAATCGCTAATTATATTTGACGTTCACACCGATCGTCGAGTATAAATTCAGTTAAGTGGGTGTCAAATTTCATTCGACACGCATCGATACGTTAATGGCGTGCGTCAATAACTCTCGAGTCAATTAAAACCGTACCTCAAAACTGTTCCACTCAAAACTATCAATTTCCCGACGTCGAGAACGAACAGCACGAAAGCTCAGGATCTTCTCTGTCTCCGTGCCAACGAGTTTATCCTATTTTTACTTCGAATTCTATCCAGTACCCGATTGAAATCCTTTAACAGCCCCGTATATCGACTCGATCGGAATTTAAACGGTGGAAGTTACGAGTCTGTCGCGGTTACGCAAAAAACGAAAACAAAACCGTTTGCTTAAATTCGCGGATCGTAGACAGGATCGGTTCAAGGATCATGAACGCTGGCGTTAAATCGATGAACTGTATATGGCGGTCGTTTGGCGTGCCCTCCCCGCCTCTGCCGCGACGGGAACGCGTAAATAATTGCATTACCTATCCTATGGCGCGTAATACGCGATGAATGCCAGTGTATACCCAGGACACACTAACGATATTGCCCTCACGTCCGTTCGTCGATCTATTTGCTTCGGGACACAGGCGCTGGACACAACGGAGCTGGCCTGACTCCTGTGTGTTTGCGATTTTAACAGGGTTAATAACGAACAAGGCAACCCGTTTTCAGCCGTAGGCCCGGTGAAACTTCCCTCTTGACAGCGAACGCAAGGCACATCGAGTGGAATACACTTTGTAACGCAAAGAGTATTCCACGGTGTCACGGATAATTTATTTACTTCGATTTTTCATTGAAATTCCACCCCGTAACATTCTATGCTTAACATTTCAAATACTTCATAATTTAATTCCAGTTCCAATTATGTCTTTTTTACTACAGTTTCTCGGATTATTTATTTTAATGTATGTAAATTTTTTATTGACATTCGATCTCGTAATTTTCTGTTTCATAATTTCATTCCGGGTTTTTGTGCAGTTCAATTTACACACGTGTTATAGATTCATAGATTCACGTGAGATTCGGTAATTTCCAATGACATCGAACTATTGTCAGAAGTTGCAATTTTAGTAGAACAGGTCAATCGACACGTTTGTATCGAATGTAGCCCCTAAAGTGTATAGGTAAATACATAGAAGGGGCAGTGGTGGAAGTGATCGTTCTATGTAAGAGTATCGACGTTCAGGTTGTACGTCTAGTCAATCCCATATTGCATTCAATATAACAGACATAGTGTGCCCAACGGACGATATTAATAGTAGTGCATGTGTAGTCGGACTCGTATTGTATCTAATATGACCGAAGTAGTCTAATCGACGTATACAGACTGTATTAGTAGCAATGGACGGTCTACAGTCAGACGCAATTACATCCAGCCCGGTCGAAGTAGTATAAGCAACAGTTACACGTGGAATCAGTAGTAGTGAATGGTCTATGATCAGACATCCGTTATATCCGATACTACACCGCGTTTCTACGTAACTCCTATCATAAATTGCTCTCAGAAAATATTCTTCGGACCACTAAAACTAAAATTGTGCACATCGTGGTCTGAAATGAAATCAGTGACACGATATTCCACGATCACAAAGATAAATGTTACCGTAAACGCAGGTTCGAAAATATTGCTTCAGAATATTATGATTACAATTATAATTTTGAATCTTACTGTTAATATTGAAAATTTAATTTTATTTATTTGTCAGAATTTATATCTCGAGAAACTATGACAAGAATACTTTAATCCTTCTATTAACGTTGTGAACCATATTGAAATTTAAGAATCCTGTAGAAAGCTATATTCTAGATACGCGATTTTATGTTAGAATATTACAAAACCGTGAATCTAATCGACTAATTTATCAATACTTGACATCGTTGCGAATATTGATAACTGACGTTAAATTCCGTATCGTGGATTGTATTTTATTTTTCACTCAACGTTAAATATGGAAGAGATGGAACATATACGCGTATAAAATTGCTGTTACGATTACATTCGATGATGGTGTCTGGTTGGCAAGTATCGATAAGGTCTCTACCCAGGTACAAGTGTATTTACAATCAAATTTAACGAGCTTGTCGGCGATAAATATTGACATATTTTCAATTATCAGTGGAAATGAAACTGCGCGTAAGAAACGCGACAGCTATTGGAAAATATTTCGATTCGTGCAAGGCTAAAAACAGCCATCGAGAGAACACGTTGACATTGTTCTGCCTCTATGCACGAGCAGGGAACGACGTCCCCCAAGTAAGATCAAAGAGGGTACACGTCCAACTTACTGCATCGACGTTGCGATATTAATGTTTCATGAACAGTCCATTAATATTTCATGAGGATTACTTCGATATATTTATTGCGAAAGATTAAAATTTAATGCGTACGTATCGAGCAAATCGCAACTACGAGAAAACAGTACTCGCGAATTAATAACGATAATTCGAGTGGACCGATATGACTTGTTGTAAAAAAAAACGTAGTGAATTGTTAAATGTATACGGACGTTTCAAATTTAATTTAATCCTGCGCACGCGAACATGACCGCGAGACACGTCACGCCCGATTACGGACTTCTGTTAAACGAATTTATCTATTAATATTGTGGAAGGATTTCGAATATAACCTGTAACCAAAATTGTCTGCACATCAAATTTAAACCGGCGTTACAGTTAGCTGGATGTTTGATGAATGGACACGGTAATACGATTTAAAAGAATATATCATTCTCTGGTCTAATAATGGTTTCGATCGCCTTTTCTGGTCGTAAAGCCTCCAATTTTTGTTTGAATTGATACTCGATAGTTTTAACGAGCTTTAAACATTCTCATTTTTATTTCATAAGTTAACGTTTTACCGTTCTAATAAGAATAATTTTAGAAATACTTAGCTACATCTGGCAACATGTGTATTTTAAACTAAAAATAAAATACACTATTCTCGAGAGTATCTGCAAAGCTATTGGATATATCGCGAGCAAAAGATGGAAGAGTAAAATCTAGTGAGGGAAACTAATTTTCTGAATGAGAATTGTCAGTTTCGTTCAAAATTTATTATCGAAAGACGTCGATCGATAAGCGACGAGCAAGAGAATTACTCGCGTCGTTTCTGAATAAATCAAGCAAACGCGAGCTCGTACGTCACACGATTAAAAATTTCCATCCCCCGCCCTGTACGAGGATAAATTTAAAATCGAAGTCGACCTGTTTTCTTTAAGAGCGTCCAATTCGAACGTGTAAAATTGTAAACAGGAACGGTGCTTATTCGAAACGATCGAAAACAATCGATCCAAGTCGCGGCGGTTATTTGATTTTAATTAATCGCCGAGCGTAAAACGAAAATGGATCAAATCCGTTACCTCCTGGACCTTCCTGTGCACGACGATCTTGTGCCACTGGTTATCGTCGAACCGGACTCTCCCCGGCTTTATATGAAGATCTAATCTCCCGTTGGCCAGCGTCATCCCCACAGCGGCACCGCCGTCCCTCAGAGACACGGTCAGATAATCGTCTCTGCTCCCTGAAACGACACAAAAGGGAAAAATACCGTGTTACTTCGGGCGAAAATTAAGCTGCAACTTTGAAATCGTGTCTCTCGCTTTGGCGCGCAGTTTTATGATCGTTCTAGAACCGACTCGAAACGTTAACCGTGTCGAGATTGAATGATTAAATGCTGCAAATGAATTACTCATCATTTATTTACGAGAAATAAAATCTAAATGTCTTTATTAGAATCGAAGACAAGAGGAAATAGAGAAAAGTAGTTTCGAAGGGACGATGACTGTGATAAAACAAATATTTTCTCCGGGGGTTATATTTTTCGAAATTTCAGAGCAATCCATATATAGTCAAATTTTATTTTTTGGTTTTTGGTTCATGTCGATCCGACTTTCCAGATTGAAGATATCGTAATTTAAATGAAGGGGTAATTTTTAAAATTCAACTTTCTGTTTTCAAAAGTATATTAAAAATTCTAAAACTTTAGACTCGTACAGTTTCGAAACTACTAGTGTTTTATCAATAATTGAGTCATCGTTGGAAGGGGCAAGGCTTCCCCTTCAAAATGGTTTTTGATTTTTGTCGATCGGACTTTTCGTTTCGGAGATATCGTAATTTATGTAAAAGGTAATTTTTTAATTTGTCGAGTGACGTAATGTTTACTATTAGCGTGAGGTCAATGACCTCGCGACGCAACCCATGAAAAGTAAACAAAAACTTTGAGGCCTTATATCTCCGGAACTAATTGAGCTATAGACTTGTACAAACGCTCATTTTAAAGGGCATTTCATCCTCTATCAGATGAATATATCAACTATTACTATTTATGCTATCTTGTATGTTTATTTTACAATCTTCTTTGACTCCACGCACCCAAAGACGTTTCAACAATTCCTATCGATTATACGACTGATGTATGATAAAACTGGATTATAAATTGTTTATTTAATTGAAAATGATACTAAATTTGTATACAAGATGTTTCCCCAATCATTAGCTCGCATTTTTTCGTAAATAATTGGACTTTTGTGAAACTAACTTCGCTATTGACTCGAACATTCGTTCTCGATTGAATTTTATCTTCTATCCGACCGAAAATTAAAAAGTTTTAACATAGTTTGCATATTTTCTGTATGAAATTAAAATTCTATGTATATTTAGTGTAAAATTATCGAATATTTTTGTACAGATTTTTAAAGTGCACGTTTTAAGAAAAAATATGCGACACAAATAAACTTCAAAACACAACACTTTATACATATAATGCAAACATTAGCAGTACGTTGCCTTGAAAAAGAGAAATTGGTCATTTGATCGGTCATGGTAGGAATAGGTATGCATGAAGTGTCAAATAGTTTATAACTGCATGACTTTCAAATGACCTTGAACTGAGAAATATACAAGCAATTCTAATTTTAAAATATTCGAATACAGAAAAAAATTCAATAAGAATTTATTAATAAATCCTAAAATTATTTAGTCAGAAATTGCGTTATAGATCGATCATTATAATTTCCCCGGTTAAATCTTAATCGAGGAGCGATAATTTGCGTTTAATCTCGTGCCGTTGCAAGATGCGCGAGCCCATCGCGAACGTAATCCTTGCATAACTTGAACATAATTATACTAAACACGGCTGGCGGTCACCTTTGGCCAAAAACAATAAAAATAAACTGTCGTTTGCCGCTTCTTAATCCCCTGGCTCGTTTCGAGCTTGCCGATATACCGACATAATCCGCGGGGGCTTTTCGGTTCGGTCGCCACGATAATTATTAACGACGAGCTCAGTCGTTTTAGCGGGTTCACGGACCACATCGGAAACGAAAGGCACCGAAACTAATGGTAAGCGGATACAAAGGATTTATGGACATCGTTCCCAAGACCTAATCCCTTTTCTCGATTTCACTCGTGATCGAGGAACGTCTGATGAAATTCTTTTTTCATGAAATACGGATCGACGCGCGTGTTTATGACAAACTTTGCAACAATGTACGGGGTTCGATTCGTTCGCGAACTATGTGCACCGAGTAAAACAGCGTCGAGGTATAACAGACTGAAAGATAATATTGTTACGAATAATTAAATGTTAAATTACGGTAATGATATGCATACGATACATATTTAAATTAGACGTTCAAGGACTGTTTGAAAGTGTTTGTTATTCGCAGAAATGAATTATTAAAGTCATTAAAGAAAATAAACCTAGACAGGACACATAAATACTTTGGATTCAATGTAATATTTCAGTTACTCGACACTGATCGAACCAAGATTTCTGAGATCAAAGTCACTTGAACTGTGCCTTTCAGGAAAGTCAAATGAATATTTTTAAAATTGTTTACGTTTTAATTCGTGGTCGATTAAAAATTGATCAGCCTGAAGAATCGTGGCAACAGTTACGTACCACACTTTGTATATCGATAAATGGAATAAATCTACGTACACGTATGACGTATTCATTTGTTAAATAAATATCACGGTGGGTAAAAGCTGTTTCGAAACGAGTCGGTTAAAAATATGCGACAAAGTGAAACGTACGAGAATTCCGTGGGAATCGGTGAAATAAATATAATTTAACGGGAATAAAGGGAAAGCTTATTTTCTAGGTAAACACAAAAGGAAACTCTGTTTTATTGCCGGCCGCGTAAAAACTGCACCTGCTTGTAGGAATTATATTTCCTTTTATTATCGTAAGAACATGCTCCTCGTTTCTCACGTTAAAATTCTCGTATTTCGTACGAACGTTTACCCTTTTTTCTTTTCTTCTCGCTGGCCTCGCGCGCGAGCCGGAAAAGAACGAACGCGGGTCGGTGCATTATGACGCGGCATTAAATTTGCAACGAGCATAATTAACTTCGAACAATATGGGGTGGCATAAAACTCGTAACCGCGGGTCGCGTAAAATTATTACACGCGGCTTTCCTTTCGACCGGAAGCCACGTTCCGATCCGCGGGGGCTTTTTGCATTTTAAGCGACGCGCTGAACAAATCGAGCGACGTCGATGTAATAACAGCGACATAAAAAATTTATTTCGACGCGGGCACTATAAACTGTTAATTCGGATCCCGCGTATACAGAAAATATTGCTCGTGTAACATAACTTTATAGAGACAATGTGAACGGCGGGCGCAATATACGATACCTCGTACGTTCGATATAAATTTCGCGGAGTTCGCCGGCAAAAAACTGTTTCACGTTTCCTTTAACGAGAATTAATAACAGTGATAGATTACGACGAGTAACGAGTACATTTTTATTCGAACGATAGTTCACTGGATCGAAGCGCGACAGGTAATCCGTTTAATAAATTAACGATCTTACTCATTTTCGCGATCAATCTCGCGCAGATAATAACAAAATTTGTTTAATAATTTAAAGAACGCGTTAAAGAATATTTCGTTTGCGAGAAATTCAGCGACGTCCACGGTTCGAAACCGTTTTCGTTTCGGTGGTGTTCGCGCTCACGTTTTTTCACTTTTCAAATTTCGAGCCTTCTCTTGGGAGCCACGTGACGACGTAGAGTGAACAGAATTGAAATTCGAGGGAGATGTAAAGCTTTATCGCGGGACAACGAAAGCTGACACGTCGACGGGACGATTGGTGGTGCGCTGCCGTTAAAATTCAGCGTTTATTCATTTATGGTAATCCTCGACGCGCATCAAGCGTTCAAATGCAAGGGTCAAATAAAATGGAGAAAAAGTGTGCAACTACGAAGACACAGACACCTGTGTCCGTGAAGATAGGGTTGCATCTTTGGGCGAAATTAAGCACATTTGACATTCATCTGTACGAAAGAAATATGGAAGATTTCAAACTTTGACAACAAACTCTAACAGTGAGAATAATTGTACAAAATATAGATCGTGGAACAGAACACCTGATTTTATTGTTTTGATCAAAATACTGGAGGTGTTGGCCCTTGGAATAAAATTTGTTCATATTTGTGTTTTGAGATTATATTATTTACATGTTTCTGTACAATGTTATTCAACAAAAAGAAAACAGCTATGATCGATGAAACAAAGCTTGCTGATTGAAACACTTTTCACAACGACACAATTGTAAAATAAATAAAAAAAGTAGCAAAGATCGATGCAAATTATGGAATAAATTTTAATCCCTATAGTAAATTCAAACATTCAGACATCGTAGTTTTAGTAACTACGTCTAACAGCTAAAGTTTAAAAGAAAAAGAACACAAAATCTTACCAACAAATGTTTGTCGAGAGAACATTGAAAATTAGAAGTAATTGAAAGCAAAACACCATCGATGTTCACATGAAACATTAACAGCTACTAAGATATAAGCTTTTAGTTACCGGATGGGTTGGATTTGGATCCCTTTCCTGTTTGAACAAACAAGTTTTTGTAAATAAAGGTGCAGAGATATGTCGCTGATGAGGTATGAGTGTGCGTGAAGAACGAAATGCAAGTTAAATGCGTTATGAATTGAAGCTTGGAAGCACGTTGTGCGGGAAAAACGAAAGAAAACCGATTAAAGTTTCGATTTTAGTGCTTTCGAGTGATAGGAAGAAGCGTAAAAAAAAATATATAGGGTGTTCGGCTACTCTTGGAAAAATTTTAATGAGGTATTCTAGAGTTCAAAATAAGACGAAAATCAAGAATACAAATTAGTTGATTAAAGCTTCGATAAGAAGTTATTAACAAAATTCTTAATAAAATTAGTACACCTACACGAATTTTTTTCTCGCAAATGGTTACGATTTCGAGGGTATGTCTTTTGACCTAAAATGATTGTAATTGACCCCTGGAACTAATAATAATTTTTTCAGAATGATTTGAAAGTTTTTAATTTCGTCGAAAAATTTCACATCTTTCTGAATTTTTTTCTCGAAAATGCGTAAGATTTCGGGGGTATGTCTATTCACCAAAAATGATTGTAACTAACCCCTGAAACTGAAAATAATTTTTCCAGAACGATTTGATAAAATTTTTTTTCGCCGAACACTTTCAGTGAAACATGTCAATGTATGGTCAGCCATTACATCTTAAGGAATTTT